TTGAGATTGATTGACGTGTGCTGCTTAACGCGGTTTGTCGCCATCACCGGCTTTTCAGTTGCTTTCCATTGGGCCGCTAATTCCTACCGACGCGATAAATAGTGATTGACGACGCGAGCCCAAAAGGGACGTTGGAAGGGCGGTGAGGAGGTGGAGGGGAAGGGCGGGGAAAGTCAGGTCAGGGCGGGGCGTGGACGGGCGGGTCACGGCGAATGGATGGGTCCAAAACGTCGCAGTGGATGTGGGTGGGGCGGGGGGAAAGGGAGACAGATAGTGAAGGGAAAGCGCAAGTGAGCGGGCCTGAACGTGGGGGCAAAGAATGTGGTGACTTTGAATGTTGAGGAGGGTGGCAGAGGAAGTAGAAAGGGCGGGCTGGAACGGCGGGAGGTGTGGGTGGAGTGGGTCGAGCGGGGTTGAGTTAGTCGCGATGGGATGAATGGGCAAAGTGCGGTGGGTAGGTCATGTGTGGGATTGGGAGAAGGGTGGCGGTGCTGGCTCCAGGGTGTAGCGGGTCTGGCCAGAGGATCAGAGTACTCTGTACTGACCGATCGAGCAACGGAGCGAGGTGAAGAAAAGACATACTATGAGGCGAGTGTGCTGAAACTGGCGGGGCAAGGCGAATTCATTATTTCGTGTTTCTAGGCGCGTCAACTGCTGTTGTCATTAGACTCTTAAGCGTAGTGCATGTTTTTATTAAGGGAGGAGACGGTGTTATTCCTCCGCTGGTTAGCGAGATTCGATGTCGACATACACGTCAGCTTGCGTAGTTTTCCCTATTCAGGTATCTCCCACCAACGAGCATCGCCATTGCCGGCACAAGCTCTAGGCTTCCGACTAGTTTGATAGTGTAGTGCATGCAAATGTGTGTAAGTAAGAGATGAGAATAGTACAAAGAAGAGGAATGACGGCCATTACCTCGATTATTATGGTACTGCTTTGGCATTAGCCTGTGTGAATGGAGAAACCACGAAAAAGTATCGATCAGAGCAGCCGGCTACTAGAAATCTCCAGATAGCGGATGAATTCGATCTGTCTAGCTAATGTCCAAAATCTGCTAGCGTTGGGACTCAAACTCTGGGTCCTTCCGGTCAGAGGCATTGCAATGCGATCAGTTGGTTACCTGAGACAAATCCTAGCGGGGAGGAGGCGAGTGACGGGTGGGGCCGGAAGGGGTGAGCGAGTGGGTGGAGGGAGGCGGTACGGAAGAATCGCGGAAGTGGATGGGGCGAGAAGAGGCAGTTGATCGGAACTAGACATCAAGGCGAGGCGGAGAGTGACAGAACGGGGACGATTGGGCGGAGGAGGGTGGCTGCGAGCAGGGGAAGGTGAGCGGGCGGAGGGGGAGGGGCGGGTTGGTTGAGCGTTGGGACGCAGGGCAGGAAGAGGTCGCCTTACACGCCGGGACTTGGCGAGAGAAAACATCTGCCACGCGCCACGCGGGAAGTTGGACGCTGCGGGGCGTCTTTGATTGATGGCCTTCCTCGCAGCCCTCGCCCCCGTCCCCGTCCCCCGTCCCCCGTCCTCCGTCCCCTCCTCGCTCCGGTCCCCGTCCTCGGAGCCCGTGCCTCAGTCGTTCCGGAGGTTGCCGTCTTGGGAGAAGCACGGAGCCCGGAACAAGCTTGGTGACGCGAGTGTGCCGTCGTCTTACGCGGAGGACAGATCACCATCCCGGGAGTCTCTCGTGCTGGAGAAAAGAGCTGAAAAGACGTGATCGGATGTTTAGTTCACTGAGCTATTTTATTATTTTGTGTTCGACTACCTTTCTGCTTTGTGGAGCTTTGTTGGCACTATGGGATTCTATTTCTCCTATAAGGTTGGGCAAATGACAATCTTGGAAAGGAGTGAAAGAAATTATAAAATATTTTTGTAAATGCAAAAATAATATAATTAAATTGTCTAGAAAATATAGGCTACACGCAAATGCACGAAAAGCTACAAATAGTTAATTGATGATCTATTAGGTAAAAAAGAAGAAAGAATGAAAGTAAAGTTCAGTGCAAAATAAATGAAAATATCAAACTAAGTATTTTTTAATGAAATATATAATATGTAATGTATAGGTGTTGGAAGATAAAAAAAAAAGCTTCATTGTAAGACGTGTGCGGACTAGTATGTATAGCATTATACTCTTCATGAAATTATATTTTGTGTCTAATTATTCATTGTTAAAATATGTAACTTTTTTTTCTGGTTGCCTCCTTTTACTTCTCTATATTAAACTGAACATCACTCGACTTTCCAAATCAACCCGTTTTTATAAACAGAACAGTTCATCATTGTTCTAATATTCGCTAGTTCGCGTCATAAAGCAACATGATCTGATGTAATTTACCTTATTAAGATTTAATTTTAGGAAAGCAGTAGCTTCGGGTGGGGTTGGTTTCTATTTCCATCCCCATCCATCATGCCAGTTGCACGAGGCAAGCCGCTGTAACGAAAACGTAGCCATGCATTGAACGTACGTTGCTCTATTGTTCACGTGGCACACGATACTACGCATGGAAGCGGGTTGAAAGAGCTCCCGTGGCGTTTCTTGCCACAGCCCGCGACGTTGTGAGCGTTGGCCCTTCCTCAGCATTTCCCCTTCTCCCATCCGCCTCTCCTCTCTCTCTCTTCTCCGCGTTGAGTTCACTCCACCTCGATTCCTCTCTCTTCGTTCCTCTCTCTTCGTTCACTGGCGGTTCCTGGCTCCCCCACCCCGGCTCCCCTACTGAGGTTGAAACTTCCACAGAGGAGCTCCTGACAAATCATCCGTGAAGTTATACAATCCGACTCTAAGAGTCGGGAGGTCACGTTGGAGCACGGGGGAGCGGCCTTTTTGTTTCACTGCAACCGATGTCGCCTGCAGAAAAACATGAGATTTCTCCCTTTCCCCGTCCGGTCTTCCTCCGCCGTTTAACTCTCGTATTCGCCATCAAAAGTTGCGACACCATATGTTTAACTTTGATACTTGCCACTGACGGAACGCGAAGTTTGATAGTTAAGCTTTGAATCAAAGTTACATATTGTAGTAAATATCTTTGTGTTCACTCTTCTCGACTTTCTCCTTAACTTTGTTTTATGTGTTTTCATTCCAATAAAACTGAGGAAGTTATTGGTTGTAAAGATGAAACATTCAGAGTTCTGTTGATTGCTCAAGAATGTTTGTTCAATGAAGAATATTACGTTTAACGTTTTTTCTTAAAAGTACCTACACTTTTATGGTTTCTCTTAAATAACGGTGAACCTATTTTTTTCAATACATACACCAAATATAATTCTATTCTGGAGTGAAAATAAACCTGTTTATACCTCACTGAGTAATTGATGTTCGTTTTGAATACCAGTGGATATAAAAAAACACTGAAAAGATTATTAGATAAATATTGTCCCTGAGAGTCCCAATATATCTGTTAAATCATTCCCTCCGGAAAAGTTCAAATCACAAGCCAACTAATGGAAGCAACATGCTAAGTCCCAAAAGTGCAATTTTTTCTCTCCCTTCAGTAATTTATCTCTTGGATAAAACTGATCAACTTAATTTGAAAGATTTATGATGTTGTGCTTTCCTCATTCATCTATTATGTAACTATACGTAACTATTCGTAATATAAAAACCGTATTCGATATTATGAAAACTGAAACAATTATTGCAACATAAGATTCCTACTGACAGTTGAAATGAAGGGAAGTCGTCAAAATTTTCAAAATTATGTAAATTTGTCTCTAATTAAACATGAATTAGATATCAAAATCAGTTGTTTCCGGGCTTGAAGGCCGTGTTCCAATGGAGACTTGTCCATACGTTTCGCCTGCAGCTGTGGCAGGCATCCTCAGTGGCGTTGCTGGCGGGGGCGAAGTGTCCTTGTTGGCAGCGCCGCGTTGACTGACTACGTTGACTACCTCAGTCAACGCGGCGCTGCCAACAAGGACACTTCGCCCCCCGCCAGCAACGCCACTGAGGATGCCTGCCACAGCTGCAGGCGAAACGTATGGACAAGTCTCCATTGGACCACGGCCTTCAAGCCCGGAAACAACTGATTTTGATATGGAAACCGGCCGTGAAAGCCTACATTGTATATGAATTAGATATGTTTCTTCCCCCAAGGGTAACATTTGTGTATATGGTAACTTTACGTTTACTTAATTCGTAATAAATTCTATTTTGTGTGTTACTTCGCGCGAAATTCAAAACAAATTATAGTTTTACGACTGTTACGTAGTAACAGCTAATGCGTTTGGGGGATCTGGGCTGTCCGGGTGACGTCGCGTCGAAGGCTGTGTTGCCGACATTTCGACCATCCTGTCGTGATCTTCCTCAGGGCTGATGTGCCAACCACCAGCCGCACACCAGCCCTGAGGAAGACCATGACAGGATGGTCGAAACGTCGGCAGCACAGCTTTCGATGCGGGTCACACAGCCCAGATCACTCACATGAGTCTGGCCGCGGAAGCCTACGACTTCAGGTAATGCGTATATTTATAGTATTCTATTTTAACGCGTTCGTATGCCGAAATTAACTTTTATGACAATTTCTAAACCGTTTATGGCTTTCAAAGTAAGCCAGTGCTCATTAATAATATTACTTCACGATATCCTAAAAGTATTACCAATATTTGTCGTAGTAATGTTGACGTAAACACAACATTTAAGATCCCAATCTCAACTGGAACTTATCCGCAATGGAAAATAACTAACATCCCTAAATTCCCGTTGCCTCATTCTACGCGCTGTCTACCATTCTTCTGAAACCCTCGCGCTCACCGAGTCGCCATTTAATTTCCGACTTTCGCCGGAAGTTGTCGGAAAGTCGGCGGGGGCTTCTCCTGCGGCTTCGGCGGCCACAAAGGGTCCCTGCCGTGACGCGAAGTCCCACCCCGGGTGATGGGGCGGGGGCCGGTGCCCTTGGGGAAGGCGGGGCGGGGCGCGGCGGGTCGCGATTTGGCGCAGGAGCCGCGTCGCCCTTGTTATCCCGCGCCGCGACATTCCGGACATATTGGAATACTTGACGTGCTTGCAGTTCTCTGGGACCGTGCCGCGGGACGCAGTGGAGCCCTGCAGTTCGCGCCGCTGATCGGGCGTTCCCAGCAGTTTGCGCCGTCTGATCTTCGGCGTCTCCCCGCAGTAAGAATGTCACGAAGAGAGCGACCTTTTAGGACTTCAGTTAACGAATTTGCGCGTGATTTTGGGGTGGGTGTCTCTGGATTCATTTCCGACTGCGGCTTCCGCTTCTGTCTTGAAATATTGTAATAACAATGATCCTGATTTGATTGTTTATCGAATAGGATTTATTGAAGGGATAGCCTCTGATTCGCTGAGCGTTATCGTGTAATATTCTCTACGTTTATGAATTAGTGACAATTATTTCTTGTTTGTTGCATTTGAGCACACTGAAAAACGCGTTGCTTCGAAAAGGTCGTTAGAAACTTATCATTATTATCTTCACTTTATAATTTTATTGAAAGAATATGTTAATTTTTAATTCACCCTCATGTACCAAACCAGTACATTGCAATTATTATTATTACTATTACTACTACTGATATTTCTCCCCTGGTTAACAGTATATACTTCTTATCTTTCCAGGTGAGTGAGAGAAGTTGAAGTCCTATTACTACGTGTAACACAAAACGAAACCAACAAGAAATAACTGTGAGTAATAAGCATTAATATTGTACATTTTTAGCTCATCTATATATCCGTAGCACATCTGTTAAAACTGAGCAATGTAATGTATTAATGATGTGCAAAATATTGAGACTAACAATAAGTAAAATTTAATCAATGAATAGTTTTCATGTTTGTTCTCTTTCAGGGAATACATTGTATCTCCCATTGGTTTCAAATGTATGTATTTATCTAGCATTTAAAATAAGAGATGTCAATGTTAAAAACAATGGAAAGTATTAATATTAAAGTAGTAACTATTTGCAGAGTCGATGTAAAAATATTGAGTCGCTAGTGACCACGGCTGTTGATGTCACTATAAATAAATGAAATATGTAATTTGGTTGAACAGTTAGTAAATTCTCATGTTAGGAAATAATCCATAGTAGCTGAAGTCTGAAATATTCAAATTGAAAGTAATCTCAAATAATAGTATACATTTTTTGCTCTCGTATGTTCAGTCTTATGCGTTTTGTTACATTTATTCCTACGCACCAAATTTAAACAAACGGCGAATGCTTGGAATGTTTTATGCGATAAATCGTACAGGTCGTTTTTTGACCGAGTTTTCGCATTTTTGCATCAATATAAGCCTATCTGGACTAAAGAGTTATTCTGCATGGACATACTTTCGCACTTCGTTTGCCAAGTTATTTCAAAATATTTCCCGTTTGAGCTGAATATTGAATTTTAGGCCCTGTGAAGTGCGAATACCTGTTGACAAACGTTAAATCGCAAAACCGCTCCGTTTATTTCTGCAATTCGTCATAATAAACACAAGAAGTAAATCCGGGGTAATCCGATTTGTAGTATACCTAATTGACATGTACGTGCAGGCCGACACGAAGGGCAACAAGAGTATTTCGTGCAAAATAGAACGCCGAGGGGATTTTTTGAATGCTAAAATATGCTCGGATCGTGTATTTTATTTTCCTATTTTGCGTATTTCATGATTATCTTTTGTAAAGAGATTGCGCCTCGCAAAGGTCATATTTACGATTTTCGTGTAATAATTATCTTCCCGAGTTAATAATTACGAAAAATTTTATCTCGCCGTAATTTTGTGAAAATACATATGGAAATAGTGACATCAAAATACTGGTGAAAATGTTAGTATGATGAAAATCTCTGAAATTAGTTGACGTTATAAAATCAGAAAAAGCGTGTGTTGTTATACGCAATGGAAATATCTACAAAAATGTGACGGCAAAATCGCAGACATCTGCGGTTAACGACGAAAATTACCCTCAACTGAGTTTTCGACTGGTGCGCGTTTTTCTGCACGGAATGAAATTTTGGTTCCATTTATGCGTCAGCAAATGGGATGCCTTTTTAGAAATGAGATATCGATTTTCGGCAATCAATCTTTAATTTCGCGAGTCACTTCGCTCGTAGTAACTTGATTAAGGTGGCCTTGCTAATCAGCACCGCCCGTCTGTCATTAGTGCTTGTCATTTACTCTCGAGTCACGTCGACTCGCTTCTCGTATGCCGGGGGCGACTGGGTCACGTGGCAACGTATTGACTACTCGTGTAGTGACGCTCAACTGAGAGAAATAAACCCGCGGATGTATACTTACTGAGTTGAAAGCACTTCCACTTCATTAAGTTAAATAGTATATCAAATTATTTCGTAGACTGATAAAGTAGCAGACATTAGTCTTGAAAAACTTATTCAAAATACAAATGGATAAAATTAGTGGCCTGCACCAGCAAATAAGCTGTTGAACAATGCCACACATTTTTTTACCTAACAGGAGATAGCATACTTCTCAAGAACAATATTGCTATCGTACAACACTGCAAGACCACTGAACCTTTTTTTAATTGTTCTCTTTCATCTCTTACCTTAATTTGAGTTTTCATGTTAATATTTATTTTATATTTCTTAAAATATTTAATTGTAACCGTGAAAACATGAAATCAGTTAAAACAAAAGTTTATAATCAAAACTAGTTTTAAAAAATTGCTTTCTTGAAAACTAATAAGTAGAATTATCAAAGTTTCCTAAGGAAATTTCTCTTCAAACAAATTTGCTCTCTTCAGTCAGAGCTGAATTTAATTACTTGTTAACAAATATAGATTTTAGTTTCCTTTAGCCCACTTTCATATATAGGTATCACTAGAAGTTTTAATTAATTGGCTTTAATGAAAATGTTTTTGATACAACATACTAATTTTAATTGATGTTTTTACTGTAAAGCTGTTATTTTTCTCTATTTCCTTGTTTTTTCTCTATTTTCCGATTTGCTTGTTGAATGCAGCTCTTTAGGTTCATCCGAAAATAATTCTAGTATATACAGAAAGGATTAAAGTATTAGGAACTTAAAACATTTTTAAAATTTGATAAATATTGATTGGGCTAGGCAGTACCAACCTGATAAAGAATTTCTTATTAGATCGTTGGGTCAATTGTTGCGCAACAACTAACGCGAATTCCAATGCACTACTATGTGTAGAGTATGAAAACAAATTTGAGAGCTAGTCGTAAGATTTAGTTGTAAAGAAGTATTAAGTGATAGGGTTTGGAAGTCGTTTACATGTATTACTAACTTCTCTGATTTTATTCACATTTATTTTGTTTGAGAAACCACAATGTACTGAGATCTTATTTTTTATTACGAGACTTACATTACGGAGAGAAAAAATGCCCAATGCATACGAAACGTATTTTAATTTAAATTAAAATTCTTCGAACACATTCCTACAGTACATGTACCCAATCTATATGAGAATATTTACAAATATAAATACAGGCTCTGATTATCTTTGAATAAATATTAACAGTTTTCACTTCACATGTTTTGAATTATATACTTTTGGGTAGGTTCAATATGAAAATAACAAATACAGACTAATTATTTCGCGTTTTATTAGCGCCCTCCAAGCAACTGTCAAATCCCACATTGATAAGTAAATCACCAAAATTAATAAAATTTACATCTGATACAAAATGATATGACAGTGAAAGATTCGTAATTCTTTATTTGAACTCATTATGCATAGGCATGTTCTTACGGGATATATGTTATGAGATGGTATCTGAATGCAATGCGATTCGGATCAATTGAATAAATAACGAAAGGAATCGACAGTATTTATATTCCCGGCACCTGCAGGATGTAAAAATTCATAGTCACGTAGATTTTTTTAAAATAAGATAGTACATTTGACATTGTGGACAGGTGTGAAGAAAATTGAGATTTGTGAACAGGTAAACGTTATTCAATTTGTTCTATAACTAGAATTTTAGATTGTGATAACTTTATCATATTTCTATCATGTGATTCGACTCATCATATTTGAAATGTTGATGAAAACAATTTAAATGTTAGTCTTAATTTGGTAATGTAATGTAAAAACAAAACCTAAGTTATGAGATAAAGGCATAAAATAAAATAACCTTATGAAGACTAAAGTGTAACAATCATTATTAAGTTTTAGCCTGGATAAATTAGCCTGTTTTTGATAGGAGAAATTACGGAATTTTACAGATTCGAACAGCCACTAGAATTTGATTCAGCTATCATGCTACTGGCGAAAATCGTTCACCGTTGGGACTCGGACCCTGAGGAATCCTAGTCAAGGGAAGAAGCAATGACATTGCCAATGAGTTGAAGGGGCAGGCCAAGTAGAGATGAAATAATGGCAGACGTGTGATTCTTTAGGTTAGCGAGAAAATATTTAGAAAACTAATTTAAATGTATATTACATGAGGTGAGGAATTAATCTATACCACTGTTTAATTCTAAGTGATTCATATTTTTTTCTGAAAGAGCTTAGAAAATTAGAAACACTTTTATAAGTTTTACAAGAAAACTTTTGGACAATTACATCATGAGCCATTTTACATACAACAATCTTCGGAACTATTGTCTTTGCAGCTCTATTTTCTTTGATCTGGAAGACGTTAGAAATATCTCTAGAAAGAACGTCTTGACCCGGGCTGGTCTGGTAATAGAAGATTGGTTTGTGTATTGACAGGCTCAAGTGAACTCTTAATATGAAAAAAATGGAGTTTGTCATATATTTGTTTAAAGACCTGTCCTGCATTTGCCGAAAAACGTAAACAAATCTATTACAAACCTTTTTGTAAAAATTTAGACAAATTTCTAAGGACTTCTTATGAAACCTTCCCCTAAAACTTTTAAGTATTTTTAGAAACGTTTACACGCAATTAAGGGCAGTCTGACATGCGCACCAAGTTAAAGCTAAGTAGCTTGTATTCTGTGAACGTTGTGCGTCACAAACAGATTCTTTCAAATACCACTAAATAAATATGGAAATCTAGTAAAACAATTTTTTTACCATTCAATTGATACGGAGCAGAAATCTGAATCTCAAAATTTTGGACGGAATCCAAAATATATCCTTTATACCAGTGATATCTAGCTCGATGCCACCAGTGATAGACAGTCACAGGGATAGCATGACGAAATCATCCCTACATTGAACACCGCGGCACAAGCGAGCGCTACGTAGTCAAAT